CAATTATTTGTCTTCTTTTATGCCCTTTATAGCCTACTGTATTTTTTTCTTAAAGTGTTTTGTATATCTCATTAGTTTTATTTCTACTTAATAGATTCTGTGGCTATATAAAAAGGACTTATTTGAAATTTGATAATCTAATTAATTCAACATTGCTGAAACAGGAGTGATCTTAGATCCAGAAAATTTGAACTCTTATTATTTCTCATATTAGTCTGTTGATTATAATCATGTTGCTTGCAAACAATTAAAAACTTGGAGGTCCCTATTAAACTGACACTGAAACTGAGGCCTCCAATTGATACTCAAGTACCTACTTTTAAAACATTTGAGATTATGAAGCTCTATGTATTAAGTGTATGATAGCCATCAACTATGGAGAGCTTTTAAAACCCTTTTAGTATTATTATACAAATCTCTATAGAAAACTAGCATTGGTAAAATGCCTACTGAAAATCAAGCACTAGGCTAGGAAGGTTTATATTTAATAACTTCACCTCAAAGCAAGTTAGTTGAGGAAACTGAGTTGTAGAAAGATTAGGTGACTTGCATAAGTGTCTAAAGAGATAGAGTTGAGATTCAAATCCAAAGCCTTTTCATTATAGTATACTGTGAGGCACGTTACAAAAACACAGTCAAGCATACACTTTAAGCATTCTATACAGGGCTAGTCTCCCTCATCCTACTCTTAAGGCTATTAATAACATATACAGGATATATATCATCATTGTAAAAGCACTAATCCTTTTGGAAAGAAAATTTTCATTATTTCAAATTCATTCATGCAATATGAATCCTAAGATCTCTGATTCAACAGTGGAGGAGCTGATATAATTAGCAGTTGCAGTAATTTTTTTTTTGGTAGAGCCAGTAAATTTCCATCACTAAGATCGGTTTCAAAAACCTGTTCACCTGGTTTTCTCACCATCTCAGTTAGTGATTACTTCTTTCTACCTTACTAGTGTTACTTTTATTCTTTCCTTCAAGATACAATATTCTTAACTCTACATTCAAATAAAAAGCAAAAAAGAGGAGGAAAATTCACTGGCCAATCAACCTACCCAAGTTATCTTAGTGATGTGAAAAGATACTTATCCTTTAGGAACAGATGTCCTAAAGACATCTCAAGAATCACTAGATGAGATGCCTTCTTTTGACTAACAGATACTTAATTTAAGCTAATGTCCAGACAACAGTCAAAATCCACTTAAACATTTATTATTTAACAACATTTGCTGAGATCCTAAGAATATGGGGGCAATTATTTTGTACCTTTATACAATCATTACTCTATAAAATTTTTGAACTCAATTAATTCTAGATATTAAAAGGGTAAAAAAATGTTGGCGAATGATTATTTTAAATAGCTAACTTTATTGAAGGTAGAATAACATTCAGATACCAATGATACACTAAGAGCTATAGATAGAACAAAGAAAATTAGTTTAAGCACAAGCTAAACATTTAGGTTATGCAGGTTAACAGACAAGCATCTTGAGTAGATAGAAAGGTGACAAGAAAGATATGACCAAGGCTTTTCTAAAGAATACAAGAAACTAGCTGTTTAAAACTCTCCAAGAAAAAGTTATGTCCTATTCATAGTGGGATATAATGGGATTACTTTAGTTTATATTACATATACATAGCATATTTGTTTATGCCACAAATCCCCTTCAAAAACTGAAGAACTCCTATGAGAACTTCTGTAAAACTGCCAATGAAGGAGACAAAAAAACTCATTTGATCCTATGATAGTTAATTAGAAAGTTTTTTCCACTGAGAATTATCTTTCTCACATTCTTTGCTACCGTAAGTTCTTACAACTGTTGAAATCATTTTTTTCAAAATTTATTATAAAATTAATGTCTGTCTGAAAGTTTTTAAGTATATCTTCTCAAACAAAAAAAGTACTCTACTGAAGTAGTTACCTATCTAACCAAGTTCCCTTTCTGCCATGAAGCCATTCCTGTTTTTTCATCATGCTTGAGATCTGCCTTGTCCTACACACCCCAAATTAACATTCTACCAGAAATATATACTTATAAACACAATAATTAATACTTAAAACCTTTCTGATTTTGTCACTGCCAAGGGGAAAAAAGCACATGAAAGGTAAGAAAAGATTACATTTGCAATAGTGGCAAATGGCACCAATAGGTTTATTTACTAGCCTTAAAAAAATACAGAAGCAGGAAGAAAAGCAATCAGTAGCTGATGGAACGTGTAGCACAAAGACTGAATAAATGCTTACCACAAAAATATTTAATATGTATTATACAAAAGAAAAACCTGGTTTATCTAAAAGTTATTAGTAGTAGAACTTATAAGAGATCTTTACAACATCTCTTAAAGAACTTTGATACTTAGTATGCCATTATAAATCTCAAATATTAACAAGCAAAAAGAAAGTCTAAATTTAAAATAAATTTAATCAAATACCTCACATAGTGGTAACCAAGAAAACTAAGAACCGGAATTAAATCTAGACTTAGAATAGTTACTCTCAGTTATCTGCACTCAACGACAGGTGAAGCAACTATTCACATAATCTACAGATAAATGTTTAAGATCTCCTTAAGTTTACATCCTTCAAAAAAAACTCTTTTTTGCAAAGTAAGCCTTGGTCTTCCATGTCTCAAAGTTACATTTTAATGATTTCCAGACAGGAAGAAAGATGAGCACCATCACTGCATTTTTTGCATATGCTTTTATTATTAATGCTATTTGTTCATCTTCCTTGAACCAAGGTATTAGCATTACTGGACCTGATTTCTTTCCATTAAAAACAAACAATTCTATATAGTATGTTATATACAAGGACAGAGCATCTTAACAATTAGTTTTGCCAATACATGCATAAATAAGTGATGTCAAAAGACTAGTCTTTTCTCATTAGACACACATATTAACAAGCAATTTAATACTTTGGATTGCTGTTACAGTTTACTGAAACTTTATAAGATTCAAAGCCAAAGAAAAACTAGGTACAGAAATTCTGTAATAGCTTCCTATACTGGGATAAAATACATACATGCAAATATTTGATCAAAAAATGATTATCTTTAAATTGGCATTTCCTCCCCTCATTTCTATCTATAGGTTTGCATTCGAAAAAATATTTCAAAACTGCCACAAAGAACAAACCCACTACATTTTCAGTAAACAGTTAATAATCCAACAAATCTATCACTCTGCCCACAGTAACAGAAAAATACTGTGTAAAACAATTAAAACTTAAATGGTTAAATACAGCCTTGTGTAGGACACACAGTACTTGGTAGCAGTAGATTTACAGCACAGTGCTGATTAGCTGTATCTTGTTTCCCAGAAAAAGAAAATGGCTTGATTTTTCTCTCCACGAAAATTATTTGCTCTTTATTAAAGTGGCTGGGACTTTGTTAGTTCTTTAATTATCACAATTTGTAAGTAAAGAATTTTTTAAAAGTTTGAAAAGCCCCAAGATCATGCCCCAATAATTTGTCATCTCAGTTCTTTTTCTGGAAATAAGCTTCAAAGTAAAAGAGACTTGTAAAAAAATGCCACATGTGTTCAACGCATTTGACAATTAGTAGAATATTAATTTCATCAATAAAACACATTTACACATTTTAATATCTCTTAAAAATCAATGGGGTCTTAAGCATTGAGTCATATTTTAACTGGTGGTGATTTTTTCAGTGATACATAAAATAATGATACCCTTGCTTTATAATAAATGCTATCTTATAATTCCATGAAATATGGCAACTCTGTTCCTCAGAATTACACGTTTTAACCAAAAAAGATAGCCCAATTTTACAGATGAGGAAAATGAAACACCAAATAAGAGATGTCCCCAACGTCATTAAAATCCGGAGCAAAAAAAGACTGGAACCCAGGTCTTCTGGTTCCCAGTGATGTCCTTTCCTTTAGACAACCCGCCGCCTGAAGTGAATGAGGTGAGAAAACTACCTGGGTTTATTAACCAATAGCTAATTTACCTAGTACACAGATATCTAATATAATCTCTCTCTATAAAAAGCTGATCACTTAGGAGCCCTGAACGCTTACGGCCTGAGTCTAAAGAGACTGTCTCAGGCTGACTCAAAAGCAACAACAACAGAATCTAGTGTTTTTCTTTCTTTTGATAAGATATATAACGAAGTACAAAAACTTCAGAAATTAGAGCTTCCCTTAAGTAAGAGATTTCATAGGGTGCATTTCACGGCACCTCACTTGCACTTTTCATTTCCCTGGAGGGGAAAGACCCGCCAAGGGAAATTACTGGCCCACCTGGAGCCTAAACGCAACAGCCAGAACAAAGCTGTGGACTCATTTATCAGCACTAGAAACTTCGCACATCTCTTCCAGCCTACCAGCTACACAATTCACAGGTGGTTGGTGTGTTTACCTCTCTCCTTGAAGGAAGAACTAAAGGAACCAAACGAATACGATGACACCCACAGTCTGTTTGCGGGGATCGGGTGGAAGGCCAGGGGAGACCACGGGACGCAGGAGAAGGCACCCAAGAAAACAACACGTTATCTGGGCTCGGGGGGCCGGAGCACCGGGCGAGGACCGGTGCCCGGGCGGCGGCGCGACTCCGCACTCCCCGAAAGGTGCCCTCGCCCACCGTCTCTTTCCCCAAGTGGGAGGGATATCGGAGGTGGGGACCGGCCCGGCGGGGGCGGGGACCGGAGGCACCGCAGGGACCGCGGCCTCGGCTCCCTCCCTCCCAGCCCGGCGGGGGTGGCGGCTCGGCTCCGAGGCCGCGGGAGGCCATTTTAGCTGCGGGGCCGCCAAAGGCCCGGGAGGCCCTCCGCCTCACCGTCTCCCGCTCCCGCCCCCACCGGGGCCGCTGCCCGCCCCGGGCCGGGCGAGGCCGCGGGGCTCGGCCTGCCGCCGGCCGGCGCTCGGAGGGGGGGGCACGGGGGGGCGGCGGGCGTGTGGGCGTCGTGTCGGCGGGATCCGGGCGGAGGGGCGAGCAGGGGGAGAGGAGGGAGAGGGCGGGGAGCCGTTACCTATACTGGGCCGCAGCCGCCGCCGCCGCCGCCCCGCTGTGGGTGAATCCAAAGTAGTTGCCGGTCGCCATTTTGGCATCTTCCCCCAGCCGGCTGGGCACTGCGACGGGCACGGAGAGTCGGGTCCCATGGCGGGAGGAGAGGCGCGGAGGGGCAGAGACGCCGAGGGAGGGAAGGGGAGAGAGAGAGAGAGGCTCCGTGAGAAGCCGCCCTCGCCGGGCCGGGCCGCGGCCGCGCCGCCTCCCCCTCCCGCCTCGCACTCCCTCACTCACTCGCACGCCCGGGTGGCGGCCGCCGCCTCCTCCCCAGAGCCTGCCCCAACCCCCCGCGCCTCCCCGCCGCCCCGGGCCGGGGAAGGGGCCACACGGGGACCCCGACGGGGCACATTATACTCACCATAGGTGAAAGAAACTACAGGGCATATGGGAATCATGGGCTCGGGCTGCTGCTGCTGAACTCTGAACTCTCACCCGCTGCCTCCCTCCTCTGCCCCGCTCCTCCTCAGCGGAGAACAGACCGCCGCCTCCCGCCGCACTGCGCAGGCGCCCCCGCGCTCGGCACCCTGGGAGCTGTAGTCCCGCCGCCTTCGCGGCTCCGACGGGCGCGTGCCATGCCTCGGCCGAGGCGGGCCTGGGGCGCCCTCCGTGGAAGGCGGGCTTGGTCTTCTCCGCGGTGGTGGCGAAGGCGAGACGAGCCGCGCCGGCCGGGAGAGGGAGTCGGGGAGAGTGACCCAAGAGAGTGACGTCTACCAGCCTTTTCTTCTTACTTTTCACTTCTTTCACTTTTGCGTGTCCATTTGTTCTCTCCCTTTTGCCCTTCTCCATCGTGCACTTTTCACCAGGACTTGAGCTGGACTAATTTGGATTTTTCCTTATTTCTCGCATTCCCGGTTCTTGTCCTTAGCCTTTAAAGTGGAGAAGGAAAGACGGGGAGAAGAGAAAGAGAAAAAGAACGGCAGGTGTGCTATTGCGTTGGATACCCCTTACGAGCACTTCTCTTCTGGTCCCTTCTCCCACCCGCACCCACCGCTTGATTCCTACAGCGTGTACGGAGCCCTCACAAAACGTCAGGCGCTCTTCTGGGTGCTGGAGATAGAGCAGTGAGCAAAACAAAGTCCCTGTTCACACGGAATTTACCTTCTGGGAAAGGGGAGGGTGGGCGGCAGGAGGTTCAGACAATAGCCAAATAAATACGATGTCGGCTGGTGATTGCAGCTTGAAGAATAAAGAGTGGTAAAGAAGTTAGAGAGCGAGAGAGGTGCTACTTTATGTAGGGCGTGGTTAGTGCAGCCAACGGGTAGAGTTGTGAAGGAGGTGAGGGGGCAAACCTAGTTGACAGTCGGGGGGAAAAGACAGAAAATGGAGGGTCCTAAGGCAGGCGTGCTCAAGAGCAGCGAGGGAGTTAGGCTGGCTGGAGTCGAGTGACGGGGAGTCCAGATCACAGAAGTCCTTGGTAAGAGTGGTGAATCTTTCATGGTAAGGACAGAAGGATACTCTCCCCACCGTGCAACCGTGTCTTTGTTCCCTCTGCTTTCTCACTGTTTTGTCTTTACTTTCCCTGTGCATTTTCAACCATTCTCTTTCCTCCTGCAGTTCCTCTTCTGACTATTTCTCCCACCTTACATCTTTCCCGCCTTCCATCAGTGCCTAAGTGATCCATTTCACCTCTTCCTCACCTAGTCCACAGCCATCCCCCAGACCCTCTGCTACTCGCCTCTCTATTGGATCTGAGCTGGATATGAGCATTAAAAAGAAACACAAAGGGTGAATCAGAACTGACTCACTAAGTTTAGGGCCTTATCCCACCTTCTCATGCCAGAGCAGAGACAGTACCTCAGTTCTTATTTGTGCCAACCCTGCTCCCCCATACCTCCTAGAAAGGTACAGTTTCTAAAATCCTGTCTGAATTATCCTCTTATTCATTTCAAAAGAGAGAAAGTGTAGACTATTTGAGAAAAATCAATGTCATTGTTTTTCAGAATACCGATGTTTCTCCAGGCAAAAGTTGTTTGTGCTCCAAGTGTGTTGCTAGGAAAAAAAAAAAATCTACACATAAGATATTAGAACTGCATTTTAAAGGTAATTTGCCTTGAACTTCACGGAGCAATCAAGCCTTCAAGGCGCTGACTGTAACTGCTTTGATAAATTTGCACTGTTAGTTACTGGGCTATTTGACTAAAACTGGAGGAGAAAAGTCAGGTGTTAATCACCCGCCCAAGAGGATTCTTTTCTGGCCAATTTTGTGCTTGGTTGCTTGGCAGGTATTTAGAGGATGGAAGAGGACTGGGCTGCAGGCACACCCCAATGAGCAGTCAGGTAACTAGAAAGAGGGAGGCATGCCTCTTCTCTTTGGTAACTGTTCCCAGATCTAAGGGTAGGTGTGGCAGCAGGAATGGCCTCAACCTGCCCCTGATTTGGGATTATTTAAGGAAGGAGTTTTGGACAGGGCTTGGAATCAAGAAAACTTGGGTCCTTTTCCTGGGCATTTAGTAGTGGAATGACCTGGGTACATTATTTAACCTTTCTGAACCTGTATGACAGGAATAACAATAACGCTCACGGGATTGTGGTGGGGATTAAATGAGGTAGCATTTCTGTAAAACAACAGTCATTCATACTTCAGCCAGAGTGATGAGTTCAAAATGAAAATCTGATCTAACGCTTCTGTGCTTCTCCCTCTTAGCATAAAGCAAAACTTCCATGTGGTCTACAAGCCCTGTGTAGTTTGTCCTCCCCACCTTTTCAGCATCTTCCTCTTTATTCTCTCCATTCCAGCTTCCTTGGCCTCCTATTTACCATGCTCTGTCCCACCCCAGGGCTTTGCATGTTCTCTCTGCCTAGAATGTTCTTCCCTCCTCTCTTCACCTAGTTGACCCTTGTGCTTCAAGATCTCCACTCAGGACTTCCCTGGTGGCACAGTGGTTAAGAATCCACTTGCCAATGCAGGGGACACGGGTTCGAGCCCTGGTCCCGAAAGATCCCACATGCCGCGGAGCACGTAAACCCATGTGCCACAACTACTGAAGCCTGTGCGCCTAGAGCCCGTGCTCTGCAACAAGAGAAGCCACTGCAATGAAAAGCCTGCGCACTGCAACGAAGAGTAGCCTCTGCTCTCCGCAACTAGAGAAAGCCCGTGAGCAGCAACGAAGACCCAACACAGCCATAAATAAGTAAATTTATTTTTAAAGAAAGATCTCCACTCAGTCAACTCCTCAGCCTCAGTCAATTCCCTGACCCCCTGAATGGATCAGACCCTTATTATGCTTCACACTTAGCTGCCTTTGTCACAGTTGCAATCTTACACTTATTGCGTGATTATTTGATTAATATGTACTTCCCCCATCAAGCTGCAGCTTGTTGAATGCAGGGCGCTAATATTGGGTGCCTGGTGATAGAACTTATTTAATGAATGAACCAGGCTGCGCACAGCTTAATCTTTCTTGGATGACTCAGAAGGCAGTTCAGGAACCTGTAGTATCTGCCTCAGCATCATCAAGAGAAACCTTAATTAGCATCTGAGGCCAAATGAGGAAATGTCAATTGGCAGACCCAGAAGAGGTGGAGCCAGCCTGAGAAGGCCTGCACCTAAACTCACCCAAAATACATCTGTTTGCCTTTCCTCACACCTTTGAGTCAAGAACTGGTATCCTGAAAGGCCTTCTTACAATACAAACATGTCAGCCAGAAAGAATAATATATAAGCTACTCTGTACTATGAGGAGTATGATAGTGAAAAAGACTCTGATGCCGGACTCAGCTGGCTTCGGATCTCGGCTCCGTCACTCAGTGCTGTAACTCACCTCTGTCACAACCTCTTTGTGCCTCATTTTTCTCCTCTGTAAATAGAGATGATGAAAGTACTACCTACAGCAGGGGGCTTAACATCATCCTAGATGTGAAGCTCCTAGATTAGTGCCTGCCCACTCTAAGCACTTTGTGAGTGTTGGCTATTATTCCAACCACCACCCATTCTTATTACAATCAAAAATGAGCCAAATGCAGGGGACAAGGGTTCGAGCCCCGGTCTGGGAAGATCCCACATGCCGCGGAGCGGCTGGGCCCGTGAGCCATGGCCGCTGAGCCTGCGCGTCCGGAGCCTGTGCTCTGCAACGGGAGAGGCCACAACAGTGAGAGGCCCGCGTACCACAAAAAAAAAAAAAAAAAAAAAAAAAGAGCCAAAGGTGAAAGACCAGGAAGCAGGCCCATCTAAATTCTTCCTTCCCCATCCTTTCTCTCCTTCTCTCCCCTCCCTTCCCCTCTGCTCTCCTCCTCTCCCTTGGAGGAATAACTCTGTGGTCTGGGAGACATGCTGAGAGATATTCTTTAGAATCCAGTTGAAGTTTTTTCTTGAGTTTTGGCCAATGGTTGTTGGATGGTGGATAGATTGATGGATACATGAAGGCCTTTAAAAGGATTAAGGTACAAACTGAGAACGGTGATCCAGGATCAGATAGTAGGGTAATCCACAGAGATAACATGTATCCTTGATAAACACAGCGACAGCTGCTGTTGTGAAAGGGAAATTTAGTGCAGAAGATGACGTATTTATCTCAGTAAGAGAGTTTATGATATAGTGGTTTCTTCTAGGGCCAGGTTTTTTTTTTTAATAAATAAATTTATTTAGTTTTGCCTGCGTTGGGTCTTCATTGCTGAGCACAGGCTTTCCCTAGTTGCGGTGAGCAGGGGCTACTCTTTGTTGCGGTGTGCGGGCTTCTCATTGCGGTGGCTTCTCTTTTTGTGGAGCACGGGCTCTATGCATGGGCTTCAGTAGTTGTGGCACGTGGGCTCAGTAGTTGTGGCTCATGGGCTCTAGAGCACAGGTTCAGTAGTTGTGGCGCACAGGCTTAGCTGCTCCACAGAATGTGGGATCTTCCCAGACCAGGGCTTGGACCCATGTACCCTGCATTGTCAGGTGGATTCCTAACCACTGTGCCACTAGGGAAGGCCCTAGGACCAGGTTTTACGGGTTCAAATCCTACCTGCACCACTTACTAGTTGTGTAGATCTAGGGCAATTTATATAACCTCTCTGGACCTCAGTTTCTTCAGGAATTAATGACGCCTACTTTACATGATTGTTGTGGGCATTACATGAATGATTACATGTAAAGTATTCCTGGAGCATTACTTGGCACATGGCAAGTGCTCAATGCAATCCTTTGGTTAATACCAGACAGAATAGATATTAAAGGATTTCTTGGCATAGACAGTCAGTCTCTGATTTCTCTCACCCTATTATACTAATTTTTTTCAATTTAAATTTTTGAGATATAATTCACATACCATAAGATTCACCCTTTTAAAATATTCAATTCAGTGGCTTTTTGTAGATTCACAAAATTGTGCAACTCTCACGACTGTCTAATTTCAGAATATTATCATCACCCCAATAGTAAATCCTGTACCCATTAGCAGTCACTTCCTATGCTCCTCTTCTGAGTGGCTGGAAACCACAAATCTACTTTCTGTCTTTGTGGATCTGCCTATACTGGACATTTAATATAAATGGACTTATACAATATGTGGCATTTTTAGCTGGCTTCTTTCATTTAGTCTT